TGATCATCTGATCTTACAATTCATATAGGTATCAAAGTCTATTCTATATTTTGCTTAATTGTGAAGTAAATGGAGTTATTGCTCAAATTTAAGTGTCAAATGTAAATCAGGGCATTCTTAGATCTTTTATTGTTTTAAACTTTCTCTTTTGTTATATAAAAAAAGTAAATGCTATTTAGTTTAGAATACTGGGATCAAGACAAAGCAGTGCCTACATTCCCAGTGCAAATGTGAGGCTTAAAGCAGCTGTCTGGTTTTGGGCTTGTGATTACCTTGGTGCCTTGGTGTGTTGCCTTTTCAGCTTTTGCATGTTTTATGAAAGCATTCCCAAACACTGTTTTTAAACTACTCAATAATTTACCAGTTAAAAATAGCTCAGTAATTTGAGGGGAGTGTTGTTTTCGGCAAAGCTGAGCTCTGCTGCTTGTTACCCTTGAGCAAGCTGCAAATCTCTGCTTGCCTCAGTTTCCCCCAGAGGCAGAAGGAGGTTTAATAACCACCTCAGAGCTCTTTTGAGAGCCACAAATTGAAAGCTTTTTGTAAGACTGAATTTCTTTAATTATTATTGCTATTATTAGTGTACTTGTTCTGTGTGTTTTAAAGCATAGGGTGATACACCTAAATAAGGGTCCATGTCTTCTTATTGCAAAGATGCTGATGACCACCAAAATTAGGCTTTTAATTTGGAAGTTATTTTAGTCAGGATAATCCTCTGGAGATTTTCCCCACTACTTGTAGAGAAAATACTACAAATTTTAAATCCCATCCCGAAGGCTGGAATTCATCTTGCTGAACTTCAGCTGTCTGCAAGTTAGGTGCCTTGTTTGAGGGGATTGTCTGAGCTCTTCCAGTTTATGCAGGAATGAGGGGAGATGAGGATGCTCCAGGCTGCAATTTCCAGGCTGGGATTACTTAACCCTGAAGTTCCTCTCTCAGGCTACAGTGGGAAGAAGTGTAAGTGATGAACGTGGCACTAGATGCCTAAATTTAAGAAAGCTAAAGAGAAATAATGAGTTAAAAGACTAAATTCAGGTTTTGCTAGCTACTGTCTTCTCTTTCTTATGATGAAGTGCTGCTGTGCATTGATACAAAGCTGTTGCAGCACAAAGATATGGTGCTTCTACAGGATCACTGCTTTTAACCTATAGCTGAAATTTTATGGTTGATTCCCCCTTTTTCCTTGTGCTGCCATTATAATGAATTAAGGGATAATAGGAGTGTGGGTCTTACAACAGTTCAGATCGCTGAATGTGGAGATGCGGCTCTGTGAAAAGCATGAGAGTGGCTAGCAGAGAAGAAATAACTGAATTTTCTATGTTGCAAGCTTAAAATGAAAGATGTTGTTAGACCTGGGGTTTTGTGCATGTGGCTTCTGGTGCAATTGTCCTGAGCAGAATTGCTTTTGATGAGCTGTGTAAATTAAGAGAGAATTTGACACTTGGAAACGCTGTCCCTGTGATGACCTCTGCCTCTGAATTCTTTAAAAGAAAAATAAGAAAAGCAGTCTTTCTCTCCCCCTGTTAATATTAAATGTCAACAGCTGTATTTTGCTGCTGGTACTTACTAACTTTTCAGCCTTGCCTTTTTCAAGTGTTTATTGCTTTAGAAAGGACTTAAAGCTTATCACCAGGGAAGTGTAAGTCTTCCATCTACCTTGACTTCTCTAAAGAAGCAATTTCTCTTAAATAGATTGTTTAAATTACTGACCAGGGAGCCTCCTAATTGTGCTACATTAAATTTTGATTCTGGCATGGTTTGTTTTGGTGTCTGCTTTCCTATCTGTTGAAATCTTCTGACAGTAATTAGGAGGAGTGGCTCTATTGTAAAGAAAAGATGATAAGGTACAATTGTGTTTGTAGTTAATCTAAAGAAAAGATGATAGGTACAAGTGTGGTTGTAGTTAATCCTTAATTTTCCTTAATTTTTTTCCCAGCCTGAAAGCATTTTTTTTTCTCCCCCACTTACTTCCGAGCTGAGGCCAATTGTCCTTATTTCTTGGTACCACACATTCACTTCGCATCACATCATAGGATGATCATGTAGTTGGCTAGGGAAGTATTATTTGTTTCCAAATTTAATCCCTCTTTTCCCGTCCTTTTAGCACTGAAAAGAAAACAGGGTTTTGGGAATGGGGGGTTTTTAGATAATTTTTTTTCTTATATGCCTTCGCTGCAGCTTTCGTCTAGTTGTAGTTGTCTACAGCTTACTTATTCATTTACTTATTGTTTGGGTTGCTTTAAGCACACACACATATTTATTGCTTACTTCTTCTGTTACACATGCTGGTAATCATAGGATTTGTTGCAGTGCTGAGGCTAGTATCTTGCCCTCATTGGTCATTTACTGGTGATAGGTATGGATAACTCAGTTATGTTGTCAGAAGCCTTTCATTTCCAGATCTGCTCCTGAAAGGCAAGGCTGAGAAAAGCAGAAATAGACCTCTGCTGTGATTTCTGTGTAAATAAGGAGTTTGGTTTTTCCATATTGTTAAATTAGTGGCTATTGCACTGAGAAGTATAAAAGTACAGTATGTAAATTATATTGAAAATATTTCTGTCTGTTTGATGTATAATAAATTTAAGCTAAGTTATAAGGTGTGCTGTTTGGAATTGTGGAAGATACAAGAGTGGAGCTACAGATAACAAGTTTATGCTTGTATTTCCTACTGATGAAGACTTTCACACAAGTTATTTCTATGGGTAGGTGATGAGAATATCACTCTGCATGTATATACATTTATTATACATTTTTGCATGATTATACATGTAGGAGTGGTACAATTTTGACTTGAGACTATTGGTGCCTTTTGTTCAAATATAACTTCACTTTTGTAGACACGTCTAAAATCAAATTTCGCTTCTGCTTTTGGGGATCTCAGTCAGAGGCAAGAGAAACAAAGACCTGAAGGAACAGTACATAGCTCCTGAAATCTTAGATAACCTACTAAAAAAATGGTCAAATAGTCAATATTGTACTTGACCCTCGTATCTTCTGCACTCGACTGTTTATTTTTAGAGATCACATTATATATGTTCACGATGAACTTTGATGATAAGGCTGAAAGAAAACATGCTTCTCATGATTCAGTCCAGTTCTAGCTTTCTGCATGTAATTTAATCATCAGCTGTCACAAATAATTAACTGAACATCAGCCAGCTTAATTTTGAACTTGGTATTCCATTATTTTGTAATTGCCTTTTGAAAAGACAAAGATTGCCTTTCAGTTAATTATCAGGACTTCTTTTTCAGTCATAATCATCAGCGTTTCGTGTTGTGAACAGTTTGCTCTTTAATGCATTGGCATTTAACTACCCATTTATTTTTGTTGGGTCTGTTTTAAGTTTGTAATATAACATTGTTTTATGAAATTGTTGTGTTGGAGGCAGGTCTGATTGGAAATATTTTGTGAATTTCTTCATACCTTGTTGCAAAACTGATCTTTAGTACGACTTAGGCAATGTGGTCACTCTTTAATGAAGTCTGTTGCTAATCACAAAATAGGCATTTCTTAAAATAGTGGGTGTTGAATTATGTTTCAGGAACCAAGTTACAAAAAAAACTAAAACCAAATAAAACCCAGCAGACAAACCCACCCTAAAAGCCTCAGTAGAAACACCTTTATAGAGAAATAAATTTGAAACTTTAAAATCATTATATTCTGTGTTCAGCAGCCACTTAACACTCCTTAAAGAAACCAGTCTTCCCTGAAAAGTTTTTTCATTTTATTCTTTGTGACTTTGAAGATTTCTGTAGTCATTCTGTAACTGAAGCTCGTATCATCCTAAACACATTACTAGTTTATGATTATTTTATATTATTCCATACAAATTATACCCTCTATTTATTATACCTGTAACGAAAATGTCCTGAAAACCCTCAACTGCCAGAACTTCCTTAAAGACTGCAGTAGCACAGCTGCTGAGCTTTGACCCAACCTGTGTTTCTATTTCATACTCTTTTTTGTGGATGAAGTCTTGGCCCAAAGAAAGTTTTGATTCTCTCATTTGGGGAGTGGGAACTCAAACCACTTTCATCCACTCTGAGTTGATACCTGTAGCTGAGATAAAGCATTTGAGTTAAAATGTGCATCCTTTGAGAATTACAGCACTCATCCATTCTCTATGCTTCCACATTATTCTTTGTCTTGAATTTGACTTTTTTCTGAGCCTCTTCTGTTTGCACAGTGTTCTCCAGTTTGGATTTTCATTCCTCACAAAGAAAATAGTCCATCCTAACAAAATAGACCAAAAATAGCTTTTTATTATTCCTCAAGGATAGATTTCATGTAAGCAGCTTTCTCTCCTGCTCCCACCTTCACTTTGGTGGCCAAAAATCCATATGGTAATCATATTGGGAAAAAAAAAGCGTATTTATCACTGCACATTATAGTTTTGATTCTTGTTATTCTTGCTCTTCAAAAAAAAAAATACAGCAGTAAAAACCATTGCATTTTGAAAAATTCCCCTGCCCTTGACAGGTAAATGTTCTGAAAGGGAAATTGCCTAATGTTAAGTTTATTGTCACTGGATCAGTTATATCAAAAAGTTAGTTTTATTTAACAAAAACCTTAAGTAATGTAAGCTGTCACTTGAGTTTTGTAAAATTCTCTAGATAAATATTTTCTCTTGCCAAATTTTGTCCTGTAACTTAATTGTTTTTTTATTTTAACTGAAGGTTTTATCCTTTTAATATTGTAAATGTAATGTTGTCAGATATGGGGATGTTTATGTGTTAATGTAAAAGATAATACACAAATAACTAATACAATGATAAATGTGTTTTTCTTACATTTGTGTTTTCTGTCTATTCCAAGGTTAAAACGTCTGTAATCTTAGACTATGTTCATTAAATGAAATTTTAAGAATTCATATAATTTATAGTTCTTTAAGAGCTTCATGTAGGAGATGGCATCAGTCCTTCAACAAATCATTTGTACTTTTAAAGGTTTTTTTCACAGTATGCTGACTTCTAATCCATGTTGTTTTTCTCTCCTTCTGCAGATGGACCTCCTGTCATACCTCATTATGATATATCAGACACAAATTCAGACCCAGAAGTGGTAAATGTGGACAATCTGTTGGCAGCTACAGTAGTTCAAGAGCACAATAATTCCTTAGGAAATCAAGACTCGGGGTCTGCCTGGAGAACCAGAGGGCTGCTAGATGAACTGAGCTGTGATACAGGTTTGTTTAAATTCTCTTCCTCTGACATTTGTTCCAGCATCTCATTGGTGTCTTTCCATTTCCTGTTTTCAGTATTTTCATAGTTTATGAAGCTTGAAAAGCTCCATATGTAGATTTTGCAATAGGACAGTACAGGTGCTTATTAAAAAGGCCTGACATTCATTCTGAAGTACAACTGATAAAAATAGACAAAGGTTCCTGCAATATATTATTAATACTAATTTTCTTCATTATTTTTTTCTCTTTGTTTTCCCTCTAATTACTACTTGGAACTTAGGTCTTGTGGATTTGGTGTTCTTTTAATTTAAAGTGAGCTCAGCTTGTTACTGAATAATTGATTATGACGACCTATGCCACCAGCCAGGAAACCGACCATAACCTCATTTTAAGTATTGCAATTGTGTATGTCTTTTTTTTTTTGTCTCTTTATTTCTTTAAAATGCAAGCATTAATTATTCCCATATTCCATCTGCATTTCTAATGTACCTTAGAAAATTGGACAGTCCAGCATCAGATGAAGATGAAGCGTGAAAGGGTGCTGTTAAGTGGGTTTAGCATCAAGAGACAGCAAGGAAATTTCCTTCAGGAAAGCAAGAGCAGAAATACTGTGGAAGAATTCAGAGGGGTTCATGTAGCTCGTAAAAATTGTTCAGTTTCCCTTTGTGCCTGCAACTCTTCCCTAACAAAAGAGTTAAACCACAAGATTAAATGTTACTGTGTTCTGCATGCATAGAGCTAACGGTATATTTCCTGTCAACTTCATCCTGTAGTTTTATATGCCAACATACTGCCTTCCTTTCCACTCATGTTTTTAATCCCCATGTTAAGATTTTTAGCTGTGTAAGACAGAGAGTCTTCCCTGCAGTGCTGGAGCATAGCAGAGTTTTCTTTCATGCTATGTTTTCCAAATGTAAGTCAGCCAAAGGGTATTGGAAGTGTGCTGGTGGCTTTTAGCTACTTCTCAATGTATATAAAGCTTAAAGAAATACAAGTGTGTGACTGATTTGGAAAAAGATCTTCCATTATTATTGAGTGGACAAGTCCATTATTTGAATATGAGAGTCTCTGTTGCATTTTCACTGTGGTCTTTAGCTGGATGTTGTTGCTTTTGGAAACTAGCTGGTTTTACAAACTCGCTGGTATTGTTCGCAGGATAGCAGCTGACTGATAGATAGCTGTTTGACCCCTAAAAAGCTAACTCCTTTATTAAGTGATTTATTAGAGTTTAGAACACGTAAAATTAGCTTTAGCACTAATGGATTGGTACTTCAAAGGAGCGTAAGGAAATAAAAAGTAACATTTCTTACAAAGCTTTGTTTCACTTTCTGCTTACGAGTACAGTGCTGCAATGCAGGTAGAAATCTGTCTTCCTTCCTCCACCTATATCCATGGGAACTTGCAAGGAGGAGATTGCCAGGTAAAAGAAAACTTCAAGAAACTGCTTCATCCCTGGCCGTATGGGAACATGTCCATACAGACACACCAGAACGTGTCCTGGTGCTGTGGCCATCTCATTGTCTGAAAGGATGAATCTCTTTTCCTGCATACACCTTGCCCCAGAGCCCTCTAGCCTCAGTGCACTTGTGACTGCACGTTTGTCAGTACTGGCCTTTTCTGACCATGTGTAGGATTGCACATTTGGAAAGCAGAGTTTTCAACACTTGCATCTCATCACATTTATAATCTTCAACCAGTATCTAGTTTAACAGACATTAAATGATGTGTTCCCGTGGGAAAATAACAACATAAGCTTTATCTTAGCAAAAAATCTTATTAAGACACACTATCACATCTTTGTGCATGGGCAAATATTTTGGGCTGTTTTGCAAGAACTGATATTGCAGGGCAAACAAAATGCCTCCTTTGGGCATCATCCTAATGTTTCTGCAAAGAAATTAACACCGTAGGCATGTTATTAGGCATGAAATTTGTATAGCCAGAGGCTGTAAATCTATCTGCATGCTGTAATCCTGTTTTACCCTCATCTACTCTCGCAGTATTTACTCTGCTATTCATAGTTTCTCTACTGCTAATTACCTTTTTGTTGTCCGATCTTAAAGCTACGGCAATATGTGAAAGCTTTGTTGGGAATCCCGTTTATACCTCTGGGGATTCATACTGGGGCTATTTAATCTGCTTTGCCCTTCTGCCAGACCTGTCTAGCACAGGGTGCAGAATGGTATTGCACGTTAATACAACATACTAAGGCAGGGTGATATCTGTACCAGCTTGCATGATTTGGAGACCACGAAGAGCAATACAAGGGTTGTGTTACTCTTGTGCTGCCTGTGCTGTAGCAGCAGTGATGTTCAGGAGTGGGGTGATGTGAATTGCTGGGGTGGTGGTCACATAAAGCTTCCAGTTTGCATTGCCAGCATATGAATCAAAGCCTCTGAGTGCTTCCATTTCGTGTTTCACAGTGTGCCCAGCCACTCCTATGAAAGCAAGATCCATGACCCATTTTGGGACTTTCTGGCAGTCAGTGGTAATTGCCAAGAAATGTTCAGATGAACTTTGATGTTAGAAAAGGTCTCCTGGGCTATTAGTTCATTTTAAGCTGACACATCTTTTTTTTGTCTTGTGAGGTGGAAACTCCTCCTCTGGGTACATGGCAATACACAGGTTTCCTTCCCCAGCTAACCCCAATGTTGAACCAAGGGTCTTTGCTTTCCAAAACCAGAACATACAACATGGTCTCTACCCCTCTATTTGCTTGCATCTTTCCCGAGTACTTCAAGCAATCATTAGGAAGTTTCTCTGGCACTCGTTTAAACTTAAATCAAACTTAAATTTCTTCTCTCTGTGTCCTCTTGATCCACCTGCGGGTAAAATCAGTTCTGCATGTTCACACACCTTTGAAATTCTGTGGATTGTTACTGTGTCCTTCTCCTCTCATCTTAGAATATTGTCCAGTTGAACTAGGCATATATGATGTATTCATCTAATCTCAAATTTCCTGCTACAGAAATGATTCTTCCCCTGTGTGGTGCAGTTTAATGAGTGGTTTCCAAGAAGCAGATATTGTCATTGCTTCAGGGCTGCACAGCATCCGCAGGTTACTGCTACAGAGAGACAGTAGAAGTAATCTTTTTTTGGGTTTTTTTTGTTGTTTTTTTATAAGGAAAAAGAAATAGAAGGTGTGTCTCTTTATTGAAATAATTATTTTAAAAATAATTTATTTTCTTTAAAACAATGATTTTGGCTGGTTTCTGTTTTTCATGCAAGTATTATGCAAGTATTATATGTTACAACAGAGCTTCACTAGTTGTGGCTGTGGCCAATGGTATGAGGATCAACAAGGCAAAGTGCCGGGTCCTGCACTTGGCCATAACAACCCCATGCAGCACCTGGGGAAGAGTGGCTGGATAGCTTTTATGGAAAAGAACCTGAGGGTGCTTGGGAAATTCCTTTTCCAACTGATTTCTGAGTTGTGTAAGCTATTAAACATTGGCTGTATTTGCCTTTTCCCCATCTGTAGGTCATTTGGATCCAGCCTTCCTTGCAGGTGACAAAATGTCTTCTGGTAATGCCCAGATCAATGAAGAAATTAGTATCGCCTCTTCTGATAGTGAAGTAGAGATTGTTGGAGTTCAAGAACACGCCAGGTATGAATCCCTTTTTCTTGCTCTAATATTTCTTTCATTTTCTCAGAATACCTGTATTTCCAAAATTAATAAAGAAAAAACCTGCTGCCTTCCACTTTTGTAGTTACCCATCCATGACTGAGGCCCCAAAGATAGCAAACATTCCACTTGGTTTTACTATTCTGCTGATCACAGTGATGTGAAAATCTGTTTTCCTTTAGAACATTACCAACTTGATAAGTATTCAGACTAAACTTGCCTGAACATTTGATCACTATCAAATGTTAACAGGCTAAACATATGTAGTATTAAAATACCAAATATTGAGATACCAAATAATATATATACACACATTAGGAATACAGATTTTAAAGGCTTTGAGAATATTCACTTACTTTAAGCATTTAATTAGCTTCCAGTTTAATTAATAGTTTAATTAATACTGTCATTTTTTCAATGGCTAATGTCCTAAGATAGCCCCTTTAGATTAAAAATCATATCCTTATGAATCTTCGTTTTATTTCAAGGTATGAGAGAGTTCAAAGTAGACAAGGGTGAGAAAGCCAGAGGTTTCTCTCAAGCTCAGATAGAAAGCTGTCCAGCTGTGCTTCAGCTGTTGTTCTTGTTAGGCTTTTTTTTGATGTTACTTTTCATATTTAGCTTACAGTCTTTCCTTGGCTTAAATTATTGTGTAGCAGTTGAACAAAATTGGCATTTTCATGTAGTATGGAGTGTTAATTTGGTGGAATAAAAGCAGTTTAAAACAGTAAACAGATGAACTCTTTCTGAAACTAGTCTGCTGCCTGGTGGATGCTTGAAGGTGGAAAAGTGGTGTGAGGGACAAGGAAAAGAGTTGTTCCTCATTGTTGCTTCACTGCATCTTTCTTGAGGAAAGGAGGAAGGAAGGTGTGCAGGACCCAGTGTCCTGGGCAGAAAACTGTACAGATAGTCTGGGCACAGTCCGGTGCTATTGGATGTTAAAAAAGGAAGTTTTAAGGTGCCAAAGGAAGAGAGATTTAGCCTTGGCTTTTAGAATAGTTAAAGTCCTTGCATGGCCAACTTGTTTGAAGATACTGATTGCTTAGGAAGTAGCTCTCCTGGCTGTTTACCCAGCAGACCCAGGGCTTTGTCCTAATGATAAGCAGAGTGGACTTACCCTCCAATACTAGTTCATGTAAATCTGTCCAACAGTACGTACACACAACCCTCTGCTTGAGGTCCCCTATTCAAAAGTTTTCCGTGCTGCTTGCCTTGATAATATTTACCGTGTACAAGGTAATGAGAGGTTAATGCAGAGTTGCTGTTTGAAATCCATTTTATATATATTTGGACTGAGATAATTTCAGCAAACACAGACTTAAAGCATGGTTTTGTGCCCCTTCCTTTGTTCATGTAACCATCTCCCATCTCCCAGAAACTAGTTTTTACTGGCTCCATTCAATACTTACCCATTTCAGTTGTTGAAATCCTATTTAGAATTTTATTTCTCTTACAGGTCTAGGCTTGCAGTTATGAAGTTATTGATGGGCTTCTGACAGGGTTGTTGTTTGGAGAAGATTTAGGTTTTTGATCAGTATTTTTCGCATGCTTAGTATGGTGTTTGGATACAGTTCTTCTGCTCACAGTGTTTTTCATTGTGCTCCATGTTCTATGTTGTCATTGAACTGGTGTGAATTGTGACACCTTGGAGTTTGTCCATCATTTGTAGTTTTTTCAGATTGCTACTGGATCTGTCATCATTGAAATATTGCTTAGCATCTACTTAGGACAACAGTTTGTGTTTTTCAGTTTGTTTATTTTTTCTCTAATAGGTTTTAATTTTTTAAAATTATGCATGTGCATAAAACAGTCTTCCTTTGTTTTTTCCCTATTTCCTTCCACCATCCTTGTTTTGGTTTTCTTTACCTGGTGTTTTCCCTTAGCTACAGATTGGAAAGCATGTTCTCAAAGCTCTGTTTGGTTGAATGTTTTGCTGTTGGCTGCTTGTGTGATTTGTTTGAGGATAAACATTTTCATTTTTGCAAGGTATCATGAGGTAGTTTATAGCTTGCATTTTATCGTATTCAGGGAGGAAAGTTAGTATTAGGTTTGTCTAAGCATTGAGGACTGTTCTGTATGGGAACGATAGACCATAGTTCCTGAGACCAAACATTGTGTTTAGTTTGCTTTGGCTACAAGCTTTTCTTGTCAGTTATGCTTAAAAATACTTCTTCTTAGAAGAAAGCTTTTTTAAAGAAAAAAAAAAATCCCTATATTTGTTAGAGTTCCAGTCCCCTATTGCTAATTCTTTGTAGATATATACTTTAAGCATGTTATTTTAAGACTGAAGAAGTAATAAAAAAGTCATTCTGAACACCACATCAAAACTAAACAGCGTATCTGAGAAGGAAATGAGACATTTATATTCAGAGAAGTTAGAGCCAGAGAATGAGATTTTTCATTCTATTTCATGAAACTCTAACTGGAGCCAAGAGAGATGAGCATAACCAAAGCAGATCTGAAGAAAATAAATTGGACTACTTTTAAGTTAAAACAAATAAAATGTAAATGTCAGGGTTATTGACCAGTGCAGAAAACCTGCCTTCCTGAAATATACAGTACACATACTTCACAAAGAGAAGGAAAAGGGTTACTCCAGCAGTCAAACATCTCCTACTTACGTATGCAGCCAGGAGCAGCTACAGCCACCACCAGTGTTTACAAGAGCAAAACAACACCAGGTTTAAAGTTTTACTAGCCTTTGTTTTAAGATTTACAGCTGGAAATGGGGTGATGATCTTAAAGACTCCAGTAAATTCTTATCACTTCATAATAAAATTCGCCTGTCTTTCTTTTTTTTTTCCGCTTCTAATTATTATTAGCTTGTACTTCAATTGTCGTTATCTATTATGAATATAATAGGTAAAAATACTGTGCAAATAAGTAGGTATGAACCTCACTCCAGCAAAGCACTTTAATGTGTGCTTATCTTTAAATACATGATTTAGTCTCATTGACTATAATCACTGAAAGCTTAAATATTTTGCTGAAGTGGGGCTGTGCTCATTATCAGTGAGCATTTCCCAACATGTTTGTAATCTTAGTTAAGAAGACCAAAGTAAAAAATCAAATGTAATGGCCATAGTAATGTAATTACAAGAGCTCTTTTGTAATTATTGTAATGAAAGTATCATTATGTCCTTATTTTAAGAGGGTTTTGATTTTATATAGAAAAATAGCTTTTATCAAGCCTCACTTAGAATTTTTCCCTCTTTTTAAAAGTCCAGTGGGTGAAACTGCTACCAGGGAGCCATGCTTCTGAATAATGCATAATACTACACATGATGCAGCAGATCTCTTCAAGTTCCTTGGGTTCCATGCACATGTTTTGTGAGGAATATCTCTGCATACCCATTGGTAGAATTCAGTTCTTAATAATAATTTAATCTCCCCACCCTGAAATTTAAGTTCAATCTCAGCTTTGTTTACTGAGTACTTAACATGTCATGGACTCTAATGGGAAATCCACAAGAACAGTTTGGAGAGGGACACGTTAACAAGATGTCTGAGTGATGAAACAGTCCAGATAAGAGTCTTATGCCTGAATCCAGTCATAGCTTTAATCCTTTGTGGTTTTTACCTCACTACAGGTGTGTGCATCCCAGGGGAGGCGTGATTCAGAGTGTGTCTTCCTGGAAGCATGGCTCAGGCTCACAGTACATTAACGCTCAGCAAACACAATCATGGACAGCTGTGACTCCCCAGCAGAATTGGTCTTCGCCCCCAGAAGTAGTAGACCTCACTTTGGATGAGGATACTAGACGCAAATATCTACTGTAATGCAATGTCACCATGTTTCTGTCCCCACCCTTTTTCCCCTTTATGGCACAGAAGTTCATTGTTAAAGCTCCAGCTTAAGAAGCCCTGCTCCTGGCATTACAAAATTCAGACTGATGAAGTTTATCATTTCCGTATGAATGTAATATAATTTCAGTATCATTTAAAATGGTTTCGCCTTCTCCAAGGAGGATTCCTCCCAGAATTAAAAACCGGTAGTACCAAATTTAAAACACATCTACAGTTACTAATGTGTGCGTGTTAATCTGAAGAAATAACTGTGTGCAAACTTAAGTCCTCCCACCTTTTCCCACCTACAGCTTTAGAACATTTTTCATTTATCAGTATATTGAGGTTTTATTTTTTTTTTTATTAGAAGTTAGTGTTTTGCTGTGTGAGCATCAGTGATTTTGAGAAATGCTGTGTTCTCACTGATTTTAGTGGAATTGGGGGTATTCAACACTTGCAAAAACTGGGCCAAGAGTATTCATACCTAAGCTGATTTGGTGTATACCAGCAGGAGGGACTGTGTTTAATACAAATGGCCCATAACATATGCACTGAACAGCTTTTAGTTAAAGGACTTTTATTTTTAATATAATTTATAGTTTACACTCTTTTCAGTGCTGAGTCTTCTGTCTACTTGACTACTATGTTTCGCTGATCATTTCCCACAGCTTATTATGGTTTAAAATAGTAATGGTAGTGACTTAGTAACAGCTGATTATTGCAAAAGCACAGGGAAAAAGTAATAAAAAGGCCCAGCATCTGTCTCTGTTTTAAATATAGCTGAACTTTTTACCTGTATCTGGGTCTTGCCTGGAGTACGAGAGGGAGAGAAATGAAACATTTCACTTACAGGTCTCATTTCTGCTGTTGTTTATTTGCTTCATTGATTATACAACGAAATTCCAAAGCCCCAGGCTGGCAAAGCACTTTAGCAGCTGAAACTGTGGGGCCATTCAATTGCTTAAAACCCTGTCCTAAGTGATGTTGCAGGATCAGAGCCTGAGGATGGGATCTTTGTTTTGGTTTTTTTTACAACCCCTATATCCACAACATTTTCCTGGCTCTAGGCCATGTCTCTTATCCTAGCTTTGGAGTTGTTTTCGGAGTGTGATCCAGGATCCACTTGTCTACCAGAATACTGACTGAAATCAGTGTAACTACTTCCTTGAGCGGGCTGTGATTTCTGTAGCGTGTATGGGAAATCCTGCCCCTCAGCTGTCATTCTGAGCCTTTCTCAAGGCAAAAACCAAAGATTAGACTTTAACAAGATGACACTCACTTTAAATGTCTACTGTGCAATTAAAATGTTCCTTTGTATTCCAAATGTTCCTAGTGGAAATTTTGTACAGCTCTATCATCAGATTATATTTTTCTTTTTGCCATTTAAGGCGGTAGTCAGGACATGGGAAGTTCTGATTTTCTTTTTGTGTTGGCTGATTTCTAAATTTACTTGGCTTCCAATAATTGTATCTATGGGCAAGAAAAATAAATAAAGTTACCTATTTTTCACATAAAGAAAGAAAAAAACCCCGTATTGTTAGTAACAAAGAGCTTTTTCTTTAATAAGCAGAACAGCTATGACTGCACTTTAAAGAACAACTAGATTAAGGGATTGTTATTCTAATTTCAAGCTTTCTAAAGCATTGAACGTAAGTGTATTGCATGGCCAGAAAAATGTGTGTCGTGCTTCTAGTGACCGATGTCTTCCTCTGGGGATGGGAGGGAGGGAAGCAGCGGTGTCTGGATGGAACCCATTAGGGAAGAGCCCTGTACCACTGGGGCACTGCATTGGTTAGGGGCTGTCCATCTTTTCTCCTTGTGTTGTAGCCAAGTGGCTGGTTTTAGCGGGCTAGCACACATGCTGTAAAGATAACTTTGGAACCGTGACTAGATGTTGCTGCTTCTTCCTGTTTCACAAAGCCTTTTGAAGATGAGTTTTGAAGAAAGCTGCAGGGACCCATTTGTAGTCCTTCCATGGAAAATGCAAACTAACTCCCTTGTTTTTCAGTTTGTATATGATGTGACTTCCATGTATATATATAAAGACAACTGCGTCCTAACCAAACTTCCTCCAATTGTGCACTGTGTTTGTTTGAACGATTCATGTATTGTAGTCCAATGCAGGTTTTCTTTTATTTAAAACACTACATAATTTTCTCTTATTCTTAACAGATTTGAAAGGGTAGAGATCTGAAAACCACAATCACTGGATAGCTACGAAGTGGGTTTGTTTTCTTGTTGTTTTGTTTATTATTTTTTAAGAGAGCAAAAGGTGCCTGGATGCTTTTGCTCTTCTCAGCAGGATTTTTTAAATGTTTGGCCATTGTATGGCTGCAAACCAGTGCACTTGGGGGCTGATCCAGAACCCATTGGAGCTGATGTTCTCCATCGGCTTCAGTGTGCATTGGCTCAAGCCCTTCATGGCTTAGTAGTTCCTGAAATTGCTGGAGTGTGAACTTGGGATCTTCTGTAGTGAAGACAAATCATTGCTTAGGATATAAATGTTTAAAACGTGCTACTCTAGTTAAAAGATCTGATTCTTCTCAACACTCATTATTTAGTTCTCATTTTCCATCTAGTATTTAATGGTCTTTGGAGAAAAAATAATAATAAAACAGAGTGTTATATATATATATAAAAA